ACCTATTTGCCCATGTTCAAGAGAAGAGAGTGGAGATGAAGATGCTATTCTAAGGCACCTGGAGATACGTGGGGTGTAAACTATGGCCCCTCGGGATGTCCGAAAGGAGAATGTTCTGCTCACCTGCCCTCAAGAGGTCCACCTTCTGTAAATTAGGAGGCATGTGCTTTAAGGCAACGTTCTTTAGGTAGGTCTCTGTGTTAGCCATGTACCTGAAACACACAAACCCACATCGCAGTGATGACACGCCCCGGAGCCACCAGGGCTATAAGACCAACAGCAATGGCCCTGCCCGGAGCCACCAGGGCTATAAGACCAACAGCAATGGCCCTGCGATTGGCCTCAGGGACACAACCACCAAACTCACAATGGCAAGCCAGGGAATTAAAGGCGGGTCCCACGCTCGCTGCTTACTCACTCTCTGGCAAAGGCAAACTCTTCTGGAGAAAGACTGGAAGGCTCCCCCTCACGGCGTGTTTTCTCCTTTTCAAGGACGTGAGGGAAAAACTTCTCTATCTGTGGGGACAGGAAACACCTGTCAACGCTTTTTGCCATCAGCAAGTTTCATCAAGTGTGTCATCAAAGGTCTGGTCTGATTCCAGTGACACACATGCTAGTTTTCTGAAACAGGTCGAGGTTAATCTAGAAAGTGACTCTGAAAATGACACGTTTTCATTATTGAGACTCTTTCTAATCATAAGACTTACACACTGGACTTCACGAAGGCAGGTTTCAGAGAATTTGGAGCAAAGGCCAGGGCTCAAAAAAGGAAGACCGTTTAAAAAGGATGAGAGGCTTTCATGAAAGAAACTCTGGTGAGACAACTGGAAATGGAAGTTAAAAGAAAGGAAGGGGCTGTTACCCAGCACTTCTATGTCATTGTACAGACACAACTGTACAACATGTGAAGTGAAACAGATACAGAGGCTGGAGAGACACACACAGAACATTTAAGCAGACAGAGAGTGACGCTCGATTATAAGACTATAACCAGGGACTTCCTTGGTGGCGCAGTGGTTAAGAATCTGCCTGCCAATGCAGGGGACACGGGTTTGAGCCCTGGTCCAGGAAGATCTCACATGCCATGGAGCAACTAAGCCCGTGCACCACAACTACTGAGCCTGCGCTCTAGAGCCTGCGAGGCACAACTACTGAGCCTGCGATCTAGAGCCCGCGAACCACAACTACTGAGCCCATGTGCCACAACTACTGAGCCTGCGAGCCACAACTACTGGGCCCACGTGCCACAACTACTGAGCCCACGCGCCTAGAGCCTGTGCTCTGCAACAAGAGAAGCCACTGCAACGAGAAGCCTGTGCACCGCAATGAAGAGTAGCCCCCGCTCACTGCAACTAGAGAAAGCCCGTGCGCAACGAAGACCCAATGCAGCCAAAAATAAATAAATTTATAAATTAACAACAACAACAACAACAAAAGAAACAATATAACCAGCAAGGATAAAACCCACAATGAGGTGAGGCTTGGGAAGCATGCTAAGAACTACCAGAAAACAACAACAAAGCTAAAAGCTACAGAAAGGTGTGTGGTCAGGAACCAGGAAAGGCAGTCTCGTTTGGAGTCAAAGCTCTCACGATCACCTCCGCCAGGGAAACGCTCTCTGCGAGCAGGACCACGATGATGGCAAGGAGGAGCTGAAGGCCCAGAGAAGGCAGCATTTATCCTTAAAGCGGTGAGGTTTCCTGGCTTGGACGGACTGTGTTCCAGGATGAACTAAATTCTCGTCTGTATGGAGTTTGAGTGTGTGAGGCACCTTCTCCTGTCCTATGTGGATCACCGCTGCTACTGTATCACTTTGTGCACTAAAAATACGTGCCATTTCAGAATCTCAGAGTCACTGAGTTCAGAAGAGGTGGGAAAGATTAGAGGCAGACACATTTCCTGATTTTCAAAAATACAAAGGAGGGGACTCTTCCAACACACATCAGCGTCCTTCACGTTGTACACGGCCTTACAGATAGACGGTCTGTGAACTCAAAGGAAAGTAGCAGTGCACATGAAGGGCATTCACCTCACCACACACCTCAAAACACTGAGCGGCCTGGCAGCTGAGGGTGGGGAGAGGCGTAGCGCATCTCAAGTTTTTCAAAATGCGTGACGATGTCTTTAACGTCCTTGTGGACAAGCTGTAGCAGGGGTGCTGCGTGACAGCACAGACTAGGAGACACATAAACGAGTGAAAGAAGGACACGGATTCAACTGACAGACGCCGATCAGCAGCGAAGGCTCTGGCGGAACATTGATCACTGGCCCAGTCCTACTAACGAACCAGATAAGACCTTTGATGACACACTCATCAAACTTGCTGAAATAACTAATACGCCAGGTGACAAGATTGGGATCCAGAGCCCGAAAAAGGAAGCTGAAGAGGGACAAGTACTGAGCCCTACACTGAAGGGTCAAAAATCAAGCCATGGAAATACAGGAGAGTGACGGGATGGCGTCACAATAATAGCAACAGCTTAAACACTTCAAAAGAGGTTGGTGCTCATGGCGAGTGTGGAATGAACCCAGGGTGACGTGTCCGTCAGACGCTACATGACACTGGGTGGCGTTACTACCAGTCTGATATCCAGAAGGGAAGTGATCATCCTGCTTTTCACAAGTGACCAAACTACAACGGGAACTCTGTTCCACTGTAGGTGGGATAATTTAAGAAGGATACTGATGAACTTTTTAAGGGAAGAGACCAGGAGAGTAAATGGAAATAAACGGCTGAAATGTTTAGCTGAGAGGACTCTCAAGAGCCTTCTGAGCTGTCTTCAGTATCTGAAGCACATCCACATGGTAGAGGGTACAGCTGGCCCTCGAACAACTCGGGGCTTGAGTGTGCCAGCAGCCCTCCCCTCCCCCCACCTTACAGTCGGCCCTCCGTATCCCTGGTTCTGCACCTGGATTCAACCAACCTCGGATCACTTTACAGCAAATATTTATTGAAAAAATTCCATGTATCAATGGACCCACGCAGTTCACATCCATGGTGTTCAAGAATGAGGCGTATTTGCTTTGTAATAACTAAGAGGACAAGTGGAACCAAATGAGAAGAAACTTCAAGGAGGTAAGAACTTCCAGGGTTAAAACAGACGTCATTGAAAATAAGCATGTTTTGCCGTTTCATTATTATAAGTTAGAGGGCCATAGAGATATAGCTGAATGCCATTAGCATGGTCCATTTGACATTGACTTAACGACAGATGCAAAACAGTTCTTAAAACCAGGTCCCCTCTGGTCAGTATTCCCTGTTCATCCACTGCCAATACCTCCGCGCTCAGCACCGCCCAACGGTCACTCCGGGGGGTGGGGGGGGGCATTCGCGCAGCAGACAGACTAACAGTGTCCCTGGAGGTGGGAGACAACCGTGCCATCGATGCTTCTCCAAAACAGTCCCGCCCTCCTAACTCTGGCTCCCCTGACATGGGACCTCAGCAGCACCTGCAGGCCCTGGACCCTCCCAGCTCCTCCCAGGATCCTCAGTCCGCACGACAGCTGCCCCCTACCCCCCAACCTTCATGAGCCGACACCGCAGGTAGCTGCTCAGGACGAAGCGGATCCTCTCCATCTCCATCTGATGGATGCTGACCTTCAGGTCCCCCTTCTTGGCCCTCCTGAGATTTTCTTCCTGTTAACAGAGAAAAAGAAGTTTGTAAAAAACATGAGAATCAAAGACTAAGGACCTTTTTTGTTCAATCAGCGCGCAGCCCATCATCGTTGGCAACATTAAGGACTCAGAGGCCACATTTAGGTCAGAGGAAAACAAAAAACTCATCGTTTAAGGGCTCTCATTTCCTTCCAATTTCTTAACTACACAAACAATACATGACCACAGTCTCACGACATAAAGTACAGACAGCCCTCGTTAACTTTTAGAAAATGACCACTTGAATAGAATCTGAATCTGGTTGGTCAGGAGGGCCCAGAACCCCAGCCCGAGTGTGAAGGAAGCAGCAGACAGAAGAAATGTCTAAAGGGTCTTGAAAGTAGTTAAAACACCAGCTGAGAAACTGTAAAATAACAACGTTTCAAAGCTACCCTGAGGCTGACAGTGACTAAAGCCCGGCTCATCTAAGGCAAGGGCCGCACACTCAGAGGCTTCGGGGCCAGGCAGGGAAGGTACCTGAGAAAGGTGGGCAGCCAGGAGCTGGGGACCTGGGGAGCACATTGGAAGGGGCGGTCCCTACCCTGCTCTGGTCAGCTGTTCTCGCGTACAAATGCAGG